TTTTTCATGTAATATGTACAGCCGAGGGTGAGGGTTTAGGGTATCTATAACGAGAAATTCGAAATTGCGAGACAATTAAATTAGCCTAATGTCAAGCAATATTCGTTATACATGCGCAATGTGGCTTTATTGGATAGTATTCATAAAACAATTAATACGCAAACATGAGTAAAAGAGTTGACTAATCATTAAGAAACGAATCTATTCGACTTTGTTTTGCCGCACAATACTATGCAATCCAAAAGCACGGAAGGTTGTTATCTTGTTAGAAAAAGTTGAATGCGACACCGTGTTTGTAGCAAACCTATCTTTATTATCAACATTCTCTTCCTTTGAAATAAGTTTCATCGCCTGTTGCTTATGTCTCTGTTAACGTATTAATAGAGAATCGTATCAAATCACTATTTTATTTCAGATCACATGATCAACAGTGGTCGGTGAACGATTTTACTATTTACAGCAGATTTCGTTAATGACGGGAATGTTGCTAGCTAAAAAACGGGTGCAGTAAACGTAAAACGAAAATCAATAAGACGAGACTTGACCGTACTACAGTAATTCCCATTATTGTGTAGCTCGAGTACAAAGATCTACACAAAAAATTTTATTTCTTTGGTCGTACGGGATAGTCTTGCCTTTATATTTAATCATGACTTCATCAACACCGACGACATCCCAATCTGTCATAAGAAACATTGAGACTAGTTCTAATGTGACTGATCTTTTAGAGAAAATTACCTCATTCATTGATACATGCGAATTTCAGTCGGCACACATATTATGTACAAGAGCGTTGAGTATCGAGCCAGAGAATTCCCAATTGTTAGAGACAACAGGCACCATAGAGTTAGAATTGGAAATGTATGAACAGGCGAGAGAGGTAAATTTTGGTAATTTACTGCTTTGCGAAGAAATCAATGCACCAATATATCCAATGCGAATATTCTTTTTTTTTCACGTTGCTACTATAGCACTTTGCAAAAGCAATATCAATATCACCAACCACAGGTTATTCGATATATATGTACATGGGACAAATGAGTGAAGGCCTCGACTCTGTGAGATATTTTCAACAAGGTGTAGATTTGATGAGTAATGAATTAAGCCAAGTAGACGGCAACTCGGATGAAGCAAAAACGCTACGGCGGAAAATTTCAAGTGCTCTATGTTCCATGACGGAAATATACTTGACTGATTGTTGGTAAACATACAGATTCGGTAGTTTCTGATAATAATGTCTTTAAGTTTGTTCTAAACATTTTCTTTCCCCTCCCGACTGATCAGTTTTGAACCAGATGCCGAAATGAAGTGTGATCTATATTTAAATCAAGCAGTAGATGTTGATAATGAGAGTCCCGAAGTGTATCAGTTATTGGCATCTGTGAGACTTTCGCAGGAAAGAATTGAGGAGGCTAAATTGGCGTTGGAAAAGAGTATGAGTTTCTGGGAGAATAAAGATTTAGGTATGATTGTTTTAAGCGTGATAGTTTTGTTGATTCATTAAAACGTTTGGAAAACTTGTCTTTCAAACCATGTAACTGACTTTATTTTTAGGCGATCAGTCTGTGCCATCTTATGAACTGCGTATATCACTTGTCAAGCTATTATTAGAATTGGCAGAATATTCAAAAGCTCTCGATGTCTTGAGTGATCTTCAGCAAGAAAATGATGAAGTAGTAGATCTATGGTATCTTTATGGATGGTGTTATTACTGCATGGGTGAAGGCACCCAAGATGAGAATGAACGAATAGTAAACTGGAAAGATGCACGAGATTGTTTGACAAAGTGCAAAAAGGTTTGTCATCAATTTGATGTTAGTTCGTGGACATAACAGAATGTCTAATATAATATTCAAATCTGGCCCAGTTATTCCACACATTAAACACGGAAGACGAAGGTATTTTACAACATGCGAAAGAATTACTTCAAATTATAAATTCTACCGTACAAATGGCACAATCAAATGAAGATAATGAGGATGTCGGCGAAGAAGATAGTTGGGAGGATTATAGTAGTGATGGTGATGGTGCAAATGAACAGAATGAAGATCCTATGGAGCTATGAAAAATGGAAGATTTTACCCAACACAATTCAAGTATTTGTATTCAGTTTGAAGTAATTTATGTCTGTAATTCGAATTTACGTATAAGTGCATATTACTACTCAATGCGATATGTGCAATAAAAAATGTATGTATTACCTACACCTGCTAGTCATAAGATTGTCCAAGATCTTGCATAATCTACATAATAAATAATAAATAATTTAATCTTTAATGGTATATTAATATGTATTGATTGCTTTAATATTAATATTAGTCGAATAATAACTGTTATTCAACGTTCTCCAGGCTGTTTAATTTTGTAATCTTTCTTACTTATTTTTTTTGGTTAAGCGGTCCAATTGTTCTAAATATAATAAGCCCAGAAACATTTTTTGTATTCTGGCTTTCATTCTCGTGTTTATTTCTATCCATTTAGAACGTTAATTTCTTATCAAAGTTGGCTTTGGGAACAATGATGAATTGGCTCGAGAACAAAATTAGAAAATATTATTTTTCGACAGGCGCTAATTGCGATATTCGGAGTGTTGGCATCTAACATTAACATGTTTTCGTCGTCAGGAGAATGCGAGAAATTTGCGATAGTTCAAAATATAGGCATTTGGCGCTATATTTGCCTAAAAGACCACCCCATGTATAGCAGTTTATGCCAAAAATTTTGTTAAAAGACCCGGGTATTGTGTATACGTTATCACGTAACTATATTATTTATATATGAATAGCACATATTGTACTAACACAACCATATTTTAGAGACAAGTTTGTCATGCAGCCATCAACATTTTATTAAAGTATTGAATTACATCTAGTACCAGTGCAAGAATACGTGTATCCTCGCCAGTCATTCTCATAATTTTCCAATGTATCTTCGTCTACATTGTATGCGTAGCCGTCCAGTTGATATTGATGGATAATAGTAATAGTAATAAATGACAAGTTTTCTCTTGCTGACCATAATAAGTTACAGTATTGTAAGGAAGAGAACATGGTTTTATTATAGTTGTGTTACATAAGCACTATGAGGTGGGGTTATCAATGCATTATCAGGGTCTGGTTCATTCCCCCGACAGTTCACTTCCCCGACAGTTCACTTCCCCGACAATTACTTCCCCGACAGTTTATTTCCCCGTTGTCGTGTCGGGGAAATAAACTGTCGGGGAAATGAACGCCTTCCACATTATCATGGGTGTACGAAAGTACCTCACCGAGTGAAGTACCCCCTCAAAAAAAGAAATGCCCGGGTCTTCTAGTCAGTGCTCTACGGTATTTATTACAATGAGTTAAACTCGTAATTACGTTTCAGGAAGGAGTAACATCTAGTGAAAGATTTTACATGATACAGTATTTATTGCTTTTGTTTACGAAAACAATTATGATAATCGTGATAATGGTTTTATATCGATACGCCTTTATGTCTTACTATTGATAGGTTGCCTACGACAATGATTAAGTAGTACAAACATTGTTCTTTAACATGCAACGCGCGTCTACTAATATATATTGAAGGTAGCCTTTTTTGAACGTCACTCTCCATTGTACATGTATTGCCTCACGTCTCAAAAACAAGTCTTTATCTATCACATAACTAACGCACGCACACACATATACTTCTTTATTATTTGTCAATAATCGGATAGATTAGTTTAATAAACTTTGTTAGCAGTTTGTGTTGCAGACAATGTCAATTTTCAAAATAAATTATAGAAGAACGACCCCTACATTTCGGACGACATTTTTTTGCGAGTTATAAATATAATAGTAAGAGAATGTTCAAATTATCAATAAAAGGTCAACAGTCCAGTCCTGGAAAAGAATCGGCTTATTACACAGATTGCTTCACTCTTATACTAACGTGAAATAATAAGACATTTAAATTAGAAACTTTTCAAACTATTACGTTTTGGAACTTTCCCACACTTTGAACATACAAATCATACGGGGGAACTAGCCTCTTAATGGCAATATATAACACAAACAAACGGCACGTAGAGCGTACATATAATAACCCTGAAATTTAACTCTT